GGGCTGAATGCGCCTCCTCCTCATGATCACCGCTGTCGTACGGTGGGTGGCCGGAGCGATGCCGAGGGAGCTGGGCACGGATGCGCTCGTTCTCGGCGCGTAGCGCCGCTAGGTCTGCTTCGTTAGCGGTGCGCATCGCCGCGAGGTCATTCTCATGCTGGGCACGCATATTCTGGAGGTCGGCGTCGTGCTGTCGCCGCATCTGCTCGACTTGTTCGACCAAACGCCTCAGGTTCGCGGTATCACTGTCCATGGTAGTTGAGTTGCTTGTGTTATCTGTTGCTCGTCTAATATGGCTTCTGGTAGAAACCATGCAGGTGGCCGATGAGAGCTTGGTCTGATCGGCCCCACGGTGGGCGCCAAATGTTCTTACCGGAAATCTGCTGTAGAGCTGATCCGCCGGGTAAGATTGGTGAGCCTCCTTTGCTGGGTGTATTGGTGCTCCGAGATGGGGGAGGTACCTGCAAAAGAGACTCCGATGCTAAAGTTAGGGTTTGTATGAGTGTGAGTCTCGTATATATATAATGCACATAGCTTTGTGTGAGTTAGGGTTGTCTTGGGCCTGAGATAAGATATGATATGATACGATATCATATAATATGATATGATCACGTTGTGACATAATATGGTATAATTGGAGAACAGTTTTGGCCTGGGACGAGATCTCCGGGCTCGAGCGTGATCTGTCCGGATTCCGGGCTGACGTTGTTCAACGCGTGTCCGGGATGACCCTTATAATGTCAACCCGGGCTGAGAGCCCGGGTGCGAAATGCGGTCAGTACAATAATAATAATAATAATAATAAGACTAAGAATAATAATATAGATGGAAAAAATTAATATTAGTTAACAAAAATGGTAATGATTTATGTTTCTTAATTAAAATATTTAAGATTCAAATTTTGATGGATACAAAATAAACTATGTTGGAAGTGAAATACTCAATTTGTATATGTTTATGATTCCTAACAAAAATTATTCATTGTTTTTTATGACAAAAATTTTGTATTAATATCACGATTAGAAAAATATAAAGAATCAGGGACGGAGCCAGGATTTCAATACTGGGGGTGCCATATAGGGGGTGCCATATAGTAATATACATATGAGTTTATATTAAAAATATGAGTTTATATTAAAAATAGGGGGTGCCATATAGTAATATATATGTATATAAAAAAAAATTAAAATTGTTAGGGGGGCCGTGGCACCCGTAGGTCCCCCCTTGGCTCCGTCCTTGTAAAGAGATATAACCAAAATAAGTAAAGATACTCTTTCTCATATATTCTTTAATCAAAATTCATGCTATAATTTAAGAATGTAACTCTTCATGAAAAATGAAACTTAGATTGAATTTGGTTTGTGAAAATGTTTTGTAATTTTATTTTCAAAAAATAATTTTTGTTTTTAAATTTTTTTACTAAAAAAATATGTTTATTTTAATTTTTCATTTTCTATTTTCTCACAATGAAAATATATATTAAAAACATGTTTAGTTTAACTACATTTGATAACAAATTTTTACATGCTGATCATAAAATATTGCATTCATCTACTGGCTTATATGAGTCATGAGAGACATCAAAGATAATTTTATGCAATTAACATATATTAAAACATTATTTATATCCCCACATTAAAAAATGCCCAAAGAAAAATATTATAAATTAAGAGTATGTCATATTGTTAAGATAATATATTATAAATTATAAATATAGTACAATCACACAATTTATATGCTACTCTTTAATATTTTTGATAGTCGTGTATTGTTTTTCTTTAATTACAAATAAAGTTTTACTTTCAATAATTTGTATAATAAAAATTTGTATTAAAAATATAAAATAAATTAATATTCGGAGGTAGAAGGTTAGGTGACAACTATTGTTAAAGGGAAGTACTCCCAATACACTATTTTTAATACATTCACTCTTGTTAATTGAAATTTATTGAGAATTATTAATTTAAAGAGAAGATCATTAAATAAAATCTAGAACCTATTAAATTGACATTCCCCGAGTCCCAACTCCCAATGCTTCGTGTACTTACTAAATTGATTAAAAAGACAAATTGCTTTACGTGCTACTGCGTTTTCAGTTCCGTTTTGAGCTTCGAAAACCACCTTTTTTTTTAAATTGATTAAAAAGACAAATTGCTTTACGTGCTACTTCGTTTTCAGTTCCGTTTTGAGCTTCGAAAACCACCTTTTTTATTTCAGTTTTTCACTTATTTTAGAAAATATTTTCAATAATTCAACAAAACCTGCTTTTGATTAGATGAATGAGCCATGTATGCGTTAATGCGTCCATTTGTTACCGACATCCCCACGTGAGTGCTTTTGACGTTACAAACATCTCCCTTATCCAAATCCAATGGATATATGAATTCCAACGCGGGAAACGTGGCTATGTATTCCTACCGCACCGCATCATTCTATAAATCGAATGAACGAGAATCATGTTCATCAACCCTCTCCAACTCTACTAGCCAGTAGCCGCTTCACATCCAAAAGCATTAAAAATGGGAAGCGCGTTGATATCGGGAGTATGCTTCTTCCTACTGTTGTCACCATTTCCACTTGCATTCTCGGAGCGGTGCCACCCACATGACAAAAAAGCACTGCTCCAACTGAAGAAAGACCTCAACAACCCTTATATCTTAGCCTCGTGGAACCCAAACGAGGATTGTTGCGAGTGGTACTGCGTCAAGTGTGACGAGAAAACCAACCGCATTTACGACCTCGACATATCGTCCTCTGTGCCAGACACCAACCTCTCAGGCCAAATACCTCCCTCTGTGGGTGACCTTCCTTACTTGGAGTTCCTCACCTTCCATAAGCTCCCCAACCTCGTCGGCCCAATCCAGCCCACCATCGCCAAACTCACCAAACTCAGGTCCCTCTTTATCACCAACACAGGTATCTCCGGCCCAGTACCTGATTTTTTGGCCCAACTCAAGAGCCTCGAGTTGATCAAACTATCCTTTAACAGCCTCTCCGGCACTATTCCCAGCACCCTATACCAACTGCTCAATCTCACCTCCCTACAGTTGGACCGGAACCAGCTCACGGGCCCAATCCCGGGCTCATTCGGATCCTTCAAGAAGCCCGGCCCAGATCTCACCCTCTCTCACAACCAGCTTTCAGGGCCCATTCCCTCTTCCTTGGGGACCTTGGACCCCCAAAGGCTCGACTTGTCAAGGAACAAGCTCCAAGGCGATGCCTCCGTGCTTTTCGGGAGCAAAAAAAGGACCCAGATACTTGACCTTTCAAGAAACTTGTTCGAGTTTGATCTTTCTCCCTTGAAGTTTCCACCCAAGAGCTTGATATGGCTGGATCTCAATCACAACAACATTTATGGGAACATTCCTTTGGCCCTCACCAAAGTGGAAAACTTGCAGCAGTTCAACGTGAGCTATAATCATCAGTTAAGTGGTAAGATACCACAGGGTGGGGAATTGCAAAGGTTCGATAAGTATTCTTATTTTCACACTAAGTTGTGTGGCTCCCCACTTCCTCCCTGCAACAATAAGCAGGTCAATATCTAAGCTGACTTCATTAGACTATTGTGATTTGAATAAAATAAATCTTCTGATTTAGTAAAGATGTCCAATAACTGTTTTGTGATAGGGAAACCACTTGTTACTTTTATGTATATAAATTTAATTTTAACTTTTCATTATTTTATTATTATTAATTTTTAATTTTCGGTATTCAACTGTCAAGTTTAATATAAGCTAAGAAGTATACCTTAAGCCTCCCAAGCTACAAGCTAGACATATTTCAAAATTTTGACTTTAAATTTAAAAAAAAAAAAAAAATCAACTTTATTAATGCTTAAGTGAGTTGTCAAGACAAAATATTTTTTATGCACAAAGCTACAAACTAAGTTTGGTTAAGTAAGATGAGGAATACATAGTTGAGACTAGGTGGGTCAAATTATGTCGTTATATTGATTGACCACACCGTTTATTGACTACTTTAAAGTGAAAAATTATTTTAAAAATTATTTACTATTGTGAGAATGTTTTAAAATAATTTGTATAATAACTGTATAAAGACCAATTGTTTCATATGTTATATTTAACAATTATAAAACATTTAACAATTTTTTATGTTAGCATCCATGTAAAAAAGTAATTGTTTCATATGTTATATTTCTTTTTCTTTTCAATTAAAAATTTATAACTTAATAAAACAATTTTTAAAAATTTTAGCCCAATTATTTTTCTACGTGTCTAGGTAATTTTCAAACGGTATTATCCACAGACATGTCAACATTTTTTTTGCTTAATTTTGGATGAAACATTAATATGTAAACTAACATTATTCAACTATAAAAATTATGAGAATCAAATTTGCAATTTAAAATTTTGAAAGATCAAATTGTACATTAGTGAAGTTATAGAGACCAAAAGTATTTTTTTAAAAAAAAAATTAACAGCTACAACATTAAAATAAATATAAAAAATGCACCTTTCATCTTTTCCAAATTTTTGGTACAACAAACTCGTACAAGGTACAATCTGCGTTGTATTTTCACACCAAAACCGTTATGCTCTCCACTAGCACTGTACTCACTAATTGCTCAACACACCCATACTTCAGTTCTTTTTGCTTTTGTGTGTAATTCACAATGACAAGAGCAGGTCGTGACAGTCCAATACAAATAAAATATTATTAGAGGGATTAAAGAAGGTGCATACAAGCACCACCCAATACAAATAAAATATTATTAGAGGGACTAAAGAAGGTGCATACAAGCACCACAGAAAAAACCAGCAATAACAATTAACAAGGGTGAGAGAATCAATGGGAGCATAGTAGAAATTCTTTTTGTGTAAGGAAGCATAGCCAAGGAGGAGCATTTAAAGCAGAGGCAAGTTTTTTACTCCTCATTTTAAATTTCATTAAATCAATAGTACTTTGTCATGTGTAAGATGGTTCTCATTATTTGTTTTTGTACCTTCCTGGTCAGAATCTGATCTGACTCCTCAATTAGGAATTTTTTCGATCTCAAGGCTAGCTTCTGTCTCTGTTGGATCCAATTTGACTCCCTAAATAGGTATTTTTTCGATATCAAGGTTAGTTGAGCCCCTACACCTTACAGGCTTGAGGTTGGAAGGCAAGTGTACCGTTCCGGTTAGAATCTGATCTAACCCCTAATAGGTATTTTTTTGATTCCATGGCTAGATGAGCCCCTACGCCTTACAGGCTCGGGACTGGAAGACAAGTGTATCTTCCTGGTCAGAATCCGATCTGACCCCACTATATGGGTGCACTCGGTCAGAATCCGACCTGTCTGCTCTATAGGGGTAACTCAGCCAAAATTTGATCTAACCCTCCCATATAGACACTAATCCGATATCAGGGAAAAAATCTCATCTTTAATGACAAAATATTTTACAAATATTAACGGTTATGAAAATTTCTACGCTCAGGGGGCCCATGAGGCCCATGAACAAGAAAGTATAAGACCTAAAACCCCAGAGCTAAGCAGACAGATTACACTCTCGAATGCTCTGGCTTTGGAGGTTGGACCTAGGAGAAGAACCCTAGACGCCCCCTTGGCCGGAACATTTTGGCGTCCATCGTGGGGCTACGGTGAAACTTTCCCTACGCCCCAAGAAATAAAAAAAAAACTTGAAGAACAAAAAAGCTACGAAAAATGGCGAGAGGCGGCGCACCAAACAACGACCCACAACACCCTACTATGAAGGAGATGATGGCATTGATCAACGGCTTAAGAGAGAAGAATGCGCGATCCAGGGAAAGGGAGGAAGTCATTCAGCGAGAGAACGAGGAAATCAGACGACGAGCTGATGAGATGCAAGCCATGATGGCAGCTAATATCAGAGGGTAGAGGAAGACGTGATGAAGTCCCAAGGGACTTTAGACCTTTCTCGGAGGTTATAGAGGCCGAAATCATTTTGAGAGACCACCGGGTCCCCCAGGTGGAACCTTTTGATGAGACACAATATCCTATTCAACACTTAACGGATTTCCGTGCTCAGATGTTGATCTGTGGGAGGAGTATGGAAGTTCGATGCAAACTGTTCATAGGAATGCTCAAAAAGGCGGCCCTCAACTGGTTCAGCGATCTTCCTGACCGATCGATCATCAACTTCGATGTTTTCAGTTGGCTTTTCATGGCACAATTTGTAGCAAATAAGAGGAAACCACTGATCACGTCGGATTTATTTGATCTCAAGCAGCAACGTGAGGAGTCGTTGAAGGACTTTTTGCAAAGGTTTAATAAAGTGGCTTTGAGGATAGCATCCTTGGACGAGAAGATGGCGGTCATCGCCTTTCAAAAGGGACTAAGGTCGGGTGATTTTGACATCGCACTGGAAAGTGAAAATTGTCAAACAATGTCGGAGGTAAGAGCTTTCGCCCTGAGCCATATAAAAACGGAGGAAGGACAGATCAATAAAAGAGCAGCAGAAAATTGAGAAGGTTTTTTATCAAGTGTACTCTTTTCCTAGCTCAGTATTTTATCCCTATAAAAGTGTGAAAGGTTTTTTCTTTTTTTGCTGAGAAGGTTTTTAACGAGGCACAAGTAAGCAATAAATATCAATTTTTCAATTTGACATATATAGTTCATGGTTAAGACCAAACTCGTGATTGATCGATAAAATTCTAACTGGACGAGTATAAATAACTCGAAGACCAAACTCGTGATTGATCGGTAAAAATCTGACTGGGCGAGTATAAATAACTCGAAGACCAAACTCATGATTGATTGGTAAAATTTTGATTGGGTGAGTATAAATAACTCGAAGACCAAACTCGTGATTGATCGGTAAAAATCTGACTTGGCGAGTATAAATAACTCAAAGACCAAACTCGTGATTGATCGGTAAAATTCTGACTGGACGAGTATAAATAACTCGAAGACCAAACTCGTGATTGATCGATAAAAATCCAACTGGGCGAGTATAAATAACTCGAAGACCAAACTCATGATTGATCGGTAAAATTCTGACTAGGCGAGTATAAATAATTCGAAGACCAAACTGGTGATTGATTGGTAAAATTCTGACTGGGCGAGTATAAATAACTCGAAGACCAAACTCGTGATTGACCAGTAAAATTCTGACTAGGCGAGCATAAATAACTCGAAGATCAAACTCGTGATTCATCAGTAAAATTCTGACTGGGCGAGTATAAATAACTCGAAGATCAAACTCGTGATTGATCGATAAAAATCCAACTGGGCGAGTATAAATAACTCGAAGACCAAACTCGTGATTGATCGATAAAATTCCGACTGGCCGAGTATAAATAACTCGAAGACCGAACTCGTGATTGATAGGTAAAATTCTAACTAGGCGAGTATAAATAACTCGAAGACCAAACTTGTGATTGATCGGTAAAATTCTGAATGGGCGAGTATAAATAACTCGAAGACCAAAATCGTGATTGATTGGTAAAATTCTGACTGAGCGAGTATAAATAAATCGAAGACCAAACTCGTGGTTGATCGGTAAAAATCCGACTGGACGAGTATAAATAACTCGAAGACCAAACTCGTGATTGATCGATAAAATTTTGACTGGGCGAGTATAAATAACTCGAGGACCAAACTCGTGATTGATCGATAAAAATATGACTAGGCGAGTATAAATAACTCGAAGACCAAACTCATGATTGATCGGTAAAATTTTGACTGGGCATGATGGCATCCTTACTTGCATGAACTTGAGATGATCAACAAAGAATAGAACGCCTTCTCCAAGGATCAAGTTCTTCAAAGGTGGCACAAGGTTTTAGGGTGGATGATGATGGAATGAGTGAAAATGGAGGTTGGGTAGAAGGTGTTTGAAGAAATGCTTGAGAAGGACACTCTAGGGTTGGCTCACTTCATGATGATGAAGGCCACTTTTAGGGTTGTTTCTCTCAAGGTGGAGATAGGAGGGAGGTGGCCAAATTAGCCAAGGGTGACTAAGGAAAGATATAAAGGCACAAAAAGCTCTTTTTATATTCAATATCAAAAGTATTTACATGATGCATAGCTTAGGGTATTTATAGGAGTGGGAGGCATCTAGGATTGCATTTAGGGTTGCATTAGCCGAAATTCATAATGCCAAATGCACACTAAATGAAACTCAAATTAAGAAATGTAGTATTTTTAAATCATACTTCACAATTTTTAAGTAAAGGTCTCTGCTTCTATTTAAGACACAAGCTGCACTTGTATCAACATGTATCACTACATAACTTTCTTCGCAAAGAATGTCATTCTGATGAATTTTTAATTGAATTAGTAAACGAATCTTCATCTTCAATATGCTAGCTGTTAATGAAGACCAAAATTTTAAACATATTGCTCAAACTCAAGTGCATGAAAGAGAATATGTCAATGCATGAAGGGCTAATATAACTTTATAGATATGTAAAAAAAAATGTTAGTTAGTAAGACATTAAAGCCAATTTTCAGGTGAGGGAAGCTAGAATGTTTGTCACTTAGTTGCATGTGAGTTTAGTGAATTGATGCATGAAAGTCAAGGATCCATGGCTGGATCGGAGAATTCGCTCATTTTTCTGGGTTTTGGGAAAAATGAGGTTTTTGGTGATTTTGATGCATCGGATGGGTGCATGTTGATTTTGAACTTGTTTTTTAGTTGTATGAAGCCTGTGTATTGTGTTTTTGTGTTTGCATGTGACTGGATTTGCAGGTTTGGATGATTTTTTGAACTCTCTGACTGGGATTAGGTCGAGTGCAAGTTGAGCGCCCCGGGCATGGAAGAGCTTAGGGCTCTCGGGTTGGATGTTAGGCCGGGCGTGACTTGGTTGCACCGGGCGTGAGTGAGTTTGATGTTTTTGGATTGAAATTGATGCTCATGCATGTTTAAAGTTGAAGTTTTAGATCATGTATGTATGATATATGATGTATGGTGAGGTGTGATTCATATGTATGCTAGGTAATGATATATATATGAATGTTTAAATATGATATGGCATGAGTATATGTTCATATGAGTATGATTGATGATCATGATGGTGGGCAGACCATGTATGATGTATGATTCATTATTGCATGTGATGTCTTATGGCATGTGTATGATTGTTGATCATGATGGTGGGTAGACCATGTATGATGTATAATGCATAATTGCATGTGATGCCTTATGGAATGACTCTAGCCAAGGACTTAAGGAGAGGGAAAATATATTCAAACTGGAAGAGCTCACATAGAGTCTCTTGAGAGTGGTGCTTGGATAGGCCACTGATATATGAGAGTGGTGCTCAGGTAAGTCACTGGGTTGGGTGAGTCTCCTCTAAGTCCTTAGCTAGTGTTGGAGCGGAGTATGAGGTCGAGGGTTATTCCCTTAACCAAGTACTTGGGAAGGTGCGTGGATCCTTGCGAATAGTCGATAGGCGAACTCCACAAGTGAATTGGTAATGCATGCCAAGGTCATGGTCAGCCTGTACCCAATTGTGCTATACCTGACGGTGGATCTGGACTTCCAATTATGTAAGTGATATCATCCGAGTAAACTCGAGTGAGAATTTTTATCCTGTTTAGCTGTGACCGAGCGGGCGCATTGGGTGTGAAAACGGTTGGAGTGGTTTCGGTAGGATTGGGATGTCACTTACACTACTCTACTATTAGGGAGATCTCTTAGGTGTATGCGTGACGATGCATTAGATGATTGATATGCATTGATATCTATCATGAGTTGCATGTATTGCATTATTGTTATAATGATGAAGTGTATGGTGTTTGACTTCATGTTTGATGAACGAATGATTGATTGAGATGGAAGTTCCTTTGGGACTTGATTTGGATGCATGTGTAGTATATATTTTATTCTGTACTTGAATGATTAATTTTTGAACTCTAGCTTACCCTTCTGTTTCCATGTGGGAATGCGATGATCATACTTGGTATGGGAACAGGTCAGCGATAGCTTAGAGTTAAGGTGACTGCTGCAAGACGGGGAGTTTGATCCTCGTGTTAGAGTTACCATTTCGAGTAACGGTTTTGTCTGTGCTTGACTGACACTAGGAAATATTATTTTTGGGATGACTGTACATATATGGTGTTCTATTTTGTATATAGAAACTTAGTTATTTTTATTCTTATCTATACTTGTATGTATAAGTTATCCAGCTTATATTTCTCTTAGTTCACTAGTAGTAGTGCGATTCCACTAAGTGTAGAGAGCATGGCGGGTCGTTACATTTGAAGTCTTGAATCAATCAAAAAGAGATTAAAAATGACTAAATTGACTTAAATTTAAGAGATAAAAGATCAAAATGAACATTTTAAAAGATAAAGAATTAAAATGAATCTAAAAAAAATAAGATAAAGAATCAAATATATAGTTTAGCCTAATTTATATTATAGCACAAGATTTTTTAATTATTGATAATTTATTTTAAAATATTAAAATTTCATTAATAAATAAAAAATTAAGTTAAATAAAATGTTTTAAAAAATCTTAATCTTTTTCATAAAAAATTAATCCTTAAAAAGTTTGGGTTGTTGTGCAATACAATCGTTTATATATATTTTTTTTGCGAGGCAATCGTTTATATATTAATCATATTTAATATATATACAATGATTTCAATATATTTAATTTATATATAAAATGTGTGGGATGAGGTGAGATTATAATACTTTACGCATCTCCATTAAATATGTGTGTTAAATCTCTAGTATCAAACTCATCTCTATTAAGCAGTTGTTTATTATTTTCATGTTTCCAGGATATAGTTGTCATTCCCATATCTCACATTAGTAACAAATTTATAATTACGTGTAAGAATGATATGTCCAAATACATATCATATTATCAAGAAATAGTGATACAATGGAGTAAAAAAAAAGTGATACAAATCATTTTAAAAATTTATAAAATATAAAATTGATAATTTTTTTTAATTATAATGTATTGATATAGTAAAATATATATTTTTGTCTTATCATTTAATGATATTAAATTTCTTAATTTTTTATATTAATGTTAATTGCTTTAAAACAGTGTAAAACGTTTAAAAGAAAATTAGTAAAGTTGCATAAATAAAGACAGTTTCAGCCGTAAAATATGTAATTTATATTACTTTATTAATCAAAAGATTTTATTATAAAAATAGATTTCAAAATTATTAATTTTTATCTATTTTTTTAAATTAACAAATTCATAAATAAATTTATTATATTTTCAAAATGAATTCATATAAATAAAACTTTTCAAAACTTAAAACAACATAAATAATAATATTTTAAAATCAAACTATACACAACAATTTGGAGATTGGATTATAAGAGGGGACAAAGCATATCTTCTTCTTTCTTAATAAAAAAAAATATATATCTCCTCCATTTTAATATTTAAACAAACAAACTTCTTTTATAAGAATATTACAGTATATATATATAATAAATTAATTAATTAAATTCTTCTTAGATTCCTGTGGTTTTGTCCTGTCATTTACAATT